AGGGGTGACCCTGAGATGTCAGGACTTTTTGACAGACTTTTTGACTCTCACGCTTGTGAATATTTTGATGCCTATAGTTTTGAAATCGGCCGGTAATTCTTGGGTTATATCGAATTCACGGCCCTTTGACCCCGCGTTTGACCTTGAAAGATGACCTTGAAAGCTCAGGACTTTTTAACGGACGCTAGCTCTTTCTGTGCTGAATATTCTGATGTTTTTAGTTTGAACATCGGCCGGTAATTTTTGGATGATATCGAGTTCCCCGTCATTTGAGCCCGTGTCTGACGTTGAAGGGTGCCCTTGAGAAGTCAGGACTTTCTGACGGACGCCAGTTCTTTTAACACTACACTGAAGATTTGGAGTGCAGCATATTTGATTGCTCTACTAATCTACAAGCCCTACGAATCAAATGACGTGGACATGAGGCGAGCAAAACATTTAGACGAACCTTTCTCTAATCGTAATTATAGACTATTTACAGCATTTTGCCTTGGCCCTAAGCTGTGGAACGGCATTTTGGTTTCATATTTTTCAAGAATAACTGATATCCCTGTATCAAAAGCCATCGTTAAAAACATCATCCGCAAGCATTTCGTGAATACATATTAACGTAACCAACATATCTGAAGACATTGCAATCCTTCGCGCTGTACATATCCAACACACTTCACATTTAACCTCCTTCACGTTCCATAATCAATTTCTGATATAGTTAAAGTCATGCACATATACCCAAATTCACGGCGCTGGTTCCGGGAGTTCTCCCAGCAACAAGCTCTGCTTGCCTGGGTGGACTCCCTGGACATCCGGCTCAAAACCCAGCACGAAAATGATCAGGTAATTGCCCCCTCCGACTTGTGTGACTGTTTAGTCCTTACCAACACGGTGAATTGAGTGGTTGTACTTACTGGGCGGTTGTAGCGGGCTGTCATTAGCTGACTTTGGCTAATGACAACTTTAAGCCTTCTCATTTATGATTTTTTCCTACCTACTGCATGACACAATTCCTTCGGGTCTGCACCACCTTCTCGCCTGCTTTTTTGCGTTTGTTTCATCTTCCAAGCTGGGAGTGCCGCGACTTGATTTTATATTTTCTGGTTTTAACGTACGGTTTACTGCGTCGCTGGGATTGAGGGAGGGGCACTCCTGGTTACCTGTTCTTGGGTAACGGCATAAAAAAATTGCTTGCTGACTGTGGACCTCAGCTCTGACGGCAGAAAGAACCACGGTGTCGAGATCGGCTTCCAGCTCAAGTTTTGAGCGTGCACGGCGGCGGTAGCATCGCGGTGGTGTCTCTACCCTCTCTGACTTACCGCTGCCGATGACACCAATGGGTGAGCGCTCGCGTGCTTTTGTTTATGGAAGCATGCAGTTGAAAAAAGAAGGCTGTGGTATGCTCATTTTTGTATGGATGGCTGCCTCTTAGACGCAGCTACTCTCATTAGCGAGAATGTCCAACAATTGGCCATGGTTTTGTGTTGCATGCTGTAATTCCAGCCCTTCATGGCTCGCCATCCGTTTTGTTCATGGACGTTCTGGTTCTACGGTCGAATACACAATGGTTTGATCCACGTGTAGCAGTTTTAAATCACGTGTCAGTTTTAACGTGCCCCGGCCGAGCTCAACGCGCGGCGCCCGTCCGCGGTCAACGCTCAGCTCAGTCTGCCGCGATCGGCGGCAGAGGTCACCCGGTCATAACAGCGCCCTCGGGCGGTATATGGCGCACTCGTGCACAGTGTCGCCCGGCGATGCACTATGCAGCCAACGCCCGTTTGGTGTGGGTAACGGAGGTAATGGAAAGTTACCGCGAGTTACCACCTCCCAATGTCACCGCCCAATCAGGGATGAATGCCGTACTGCAGTACTGGCGTTGTGGAAGTGTTTTGCGAGATATGGCGCGCAAAAGCCGACGCATGTCATGACGTAAGGATTTGTTGGACAGTTGGGTAGCGCCCATTGGATGCATCTAGCTAGTTCTATGCAACCCAAATTAAAGAAAAACTTGTTGGCACGCCCAGTCCCCTTAACTCCCAAATCACAATGCGATAAATTGACGTCTTTGACGTCTGCTATGTCGAGGTCGTTACAATGTGGTTTCGTCGGTGAGTGGTGTACCCTACAGATAGGCTGGGAACAGTTCCTCAAGATCCCTTGGCACCTGAGATATGTTTTCTACCAATTCGGAAACAAAGAATTGTGCTTACGATTACGAGCAAGTATCAAACTTTGCGCATATGCCTGCAGTGAACAATAGGTCGTGAGGAAATCTGGAGTTAAGAATACTGGTACTTGGGCAGAATACCAGGCCAGCAGGACCGTGGTTGGGGCATGAAGAAGGGATAGAGTTCAATTGGCAGGCAATCAAATGTTTGCTCTAACCCACTTCTGCACTGTTAAACATGTTGGCAATCGTATGATTTTTCACCTCCTTGTAAATAGTGGTGTCACCCATCCACCCAAATGAAAAGCAATTTCAGGACCCCGTGTGGAAGCAGCATACCCAAATTCGTCGTCAAGGAGTTTTGTGAGTGTTTGAACTGTTCTCCATGCGTGCGTGGAATTACCTGGCTGGTCGTGTGCGGAGTTGGCTGTATTTGACCCTTCTCCTTCCGAAGTCACGGACGCCATCAGCGGTGGTACCACACCACCACAGTGCCTGCTAGCATTGCCTGGCGGGGGATAATCACAGTGTTAGTACCTGTAGCAGAGTCTAGATGGCGCAGAAGTGGTAACCAAGCGCCGCCAATCGCTGGTTATGCTGTGTGTTTTGGTTGGTCCGGGTCTCCGGAAATCGTCCCCCAACACAGCGTTTTGAGGAATCTTGGCAGCTGTTGGTGGAATTGGTACTTGCTGCTAGGTGCCTGAGTCCTCGGCGTTAATTGATTAGAAAAATGGAAGGAAGCGCAGTCGCGGTTCATCACTACGTGAAAGCAATTCGTCGTCATAGGCGCTTTCCGGCGCACTCAGCTGCCGAGGCTCCACGACATCGTCTGTCGCTCATCCTGACAGACAGGTAAGGTGCCACGGGGAATCAAATCCCGCACCTCTGGCCTGGCCATCTTAAATGTGTCCGTGAAGTTAGCGATTTTTTCAGCGATTTATTCAGCGACGAGCTCCGATTTCTCTGAAAAAAGTCTGAAGGTCAATTGTGACATGAAAATACCAAAAATGACGCTTATTTTTCACATCTTTTCGGTAATATCCAGTTCCCCGTCATTTGAGTCCGTGTTTGATCTTGAAGGATGATCTTGAGAGGTCAGGACTTTTTGACGGGCGTAAGTTTTTTCTGTGGTAGTGTTCTGATGTTTTAAGTTGAAGATCGGCCAGTAATTTTTGGGTGATATCGGGTTCTCCGTCATTTAAGTCCGTGTTTGGTCTTGAAGTTCTGACCTCCTTGAGAGGTCAGGACTTTTTAACGGACGTAAGTTTTTTTCTGGTGTGAATGTTCTGATCTTTTTAAGTTAGAAATCGGTGGGAAATTTTTGGGTGATGCAAATTTCCCGTCCTTTGAGTCCCCGTTCGATTTTGAAGGATGACCTTGAGAGTTCATGACTTTTCGACGGACGCGAGTTGTTTTTGGTGTGAATATTTTGATGCTTATAAGTTAAAATCAGCCGGTAATTTTGGGATGATACCTAGTTCCCCGTCCTTTGAGCCCGTGTTTGGCCTTGAAGGGTGACATTGAGAGGTCAGGACTTTTTGACGGACACTAGCTCTTGCGCTTGTGAATGCTTTGATGCCTGTAATTTTCACACCGGCAGGCAATTTTTGGGTGATATCGAGTTTCCCGTCCTTTGACCCAGCTTTTGACGTCGAAGGTCACATGATATTACAAAACAAGGGTAATTTTTATGTTCTCATGCCACAACTGACCTTAGACATTATTTTCAGAGAAATCGGAACACGCCGCTGAATAAATCGCAAAATAAATTGTTGACTTCACGGACATATCTTAAATGAGATGTTTCTCATTCGAAGATGCGGAAGCAAGCATCAGATATAATGCAATTGGCTAACTTACAACTATTGGTTTACGTTAAAGTGAAACAGACTTCGCCAGACAACACAGTTTCTCTCCGTGTAAATATGCTCCTCAATAGTCGATGTTTGAATAATTCCAGCATGTCTCTGAGTGCTGTCGGTCTAGGAAAGACCAACTGACCCATTGCAGGATGAGCTGCGGTGGCGGTTTACTCGATACAGTCCACTAACGCCCGGTTCATTCAGTTTGTTGTCTGTTTGTTACAGCATGATTGCCGACTTGTTTAACACCACACTTAAGATTTGGAGCACAGAAGATTTGATTGCTTACTAAGTGTTCTCCATTCCAAGTACCAGCATTTCCTAAGTCCAGACTTCCTCACCATCCGTTGTCAACTGCAGGCCATATGTTCATAGTGTGATAGTTACTCGTCATCGCTAGACAATTCGTTGTTTCTAAATTGGTGCAAAATACATCCCAGGTGCGAAATGGCCTTAAGGAATTTCTTCCAGCCTATCTGCAGGGTACACCATACACCGACAAAACCACATTGGCACGACCTCAGCGTAGCGGACGTCAAATACCCCAATTTATTACATTGTGGTTTGTGAGTAGAGCTAGCCAGATGCATCCAATGGGCTTTCCCCATATGTCCAACAAATCCTAAACTCGTGACATGTGTCGCATGTGACGCATCATCTTTGCCAAAACACTTCTACAACGCAAGTACCGCAGTACGGCATTCATCCCTGATTGGGCGGTGACATTGGGAGGTGGTAATTCGCGGTAGCTTTCCATTACCTCCGTTACCCACACCAAACAGGCGTTGACTGTATAGTGCATCGCCGGGTGACACTGTGCACGAGTGCGCCATGTACCGCCCGAGGGCGCTGTTGTGACCGGGTGACCTCTGCCGCTGACCGCGGCAGACTGAGCTGAGCGGTGACCGCGGACGGGCGCTGCGCGCTCCGTTCGGCCGGGGCACGTTAAAACAGACACGTGATTTAAAACTGCTATACGTGGATCAAACCATTGTGTATTTGACCGTAGAACCAGAACGTCCATGAACATAACGGATGGCGAGCCATGAAGGGCTGGAATTACAGCATGCAACACAAAACCATGGCCAATTGTTGGATATTCTCGCTAATGAGAGTAGCTGCGTCTAAGAGGCAGCCATCCATACAAAAATGAGCATACCACAGCCTTCTTTTCTCAACTGCATAGTTCCATAACCAGACTCATGGGAGTCGTCGCTTATTGGTGTCATCGACAGCGATAAGTCAGCGACGCTAGAGCCACCATCGCGATGCTACCGCCGCCGTGCACGCTCAAAACTTGAGCTGGAAGCCGATCCCGACACCGTGGTTCTTTCTGCCGTCAGAGCTGAGACCCACACCGAGGCCAGCGCGACCGTTGCGGCTTCTCCAGACCCGCACGCCGCCCGCCTTGGGACTCCAGCTACCGCCCAGGCCGAACCGGCTGCCGGCCGCCTGCTGCGCCGCCCTCGCCGCCGCCGCGCCATAGTCGTGGCGCCGACCGCCGGGGTTGGCACAAGCCAGGGCGACGACACTGAGCAGCACCAGCAGGAACAGACTGCGGAACATGGCTGTCGGACAGAAACAGTGGTCACAACCATGACTGCTCGCACAGACATGCAGAATGGCCATATGTCGGGGCAGAGGTGTCTGATGGAGATGAAGGCCGAATGTAGAGTACTGATGAGGGCCAGTTGATATAGGTGCACAGTACTGATGAGGGCCAGTTGATATAGGTGCACAGTACTGATGAGGGCCAGTTGATATAGGTGCACAGTACTGATGAGGGCCAGTTGATATAGGTGCACAGTACTGATGAGGGCCAGTTGATATAGGTGCACAGTACTGATGAGGGCCAGTTGATATAGGTGCACAGTACTGATGAGGGCCGGTTGATATAGGTGCACAGTACTGATGAGGGCCAGTTGATATAGGTGCACAGTACTGATGAGGGCCAGTTGATATAGGTGCACAGTACTGATGAGGGCCAGTTGATATAGGTGCACAGTAACTGATGAGGGCCGGTTGATATAGGTGCACAGTACTGATGAGGGCCAGTTGATATAGGTGCACAGTACTGATGAGGGCCGGTTGATATAGGTGCACAGTACTGATGAGGGCCAGTTGATATAGGTGCACAGTACTGATGAGGGCCAGTTGATATAGGTGCACGGAAACGTTGACCATAAAACAGCTCTCAACTAAAAACAAGTGAAAAATAAACGACAGCAGTTCTAGATTTTGGAAGTAAAATGCAACCACATGCAAAATGTGTTAGCACAAAATATGTGTACAGGGTTCGAAACAAGCCATCGTAAGCAAGCCAGCATTAATTGTCGTCACGAATGCAGTAGACGTAATATGTTTCAGATAGCTATAATATTTCCCCAAAATTGTTGCAGTGTGTAGGCTTTAACTGGCGTTCAATGTTTGTCTTTAGTAACACTAGTTTCAACTTAGACGGGCTACATAATAGTAGGGACAGAATGGTTGACCATTGGATTCATACACTTTGGCGCGTGATGCTCATAGACTAGCTTTTAGGGCGTACTTTAAGATGTTATTGAGAATCTGCTAGGATGGAGGTTAAGCGGAAACCAGACTGACCGAGGCGGTGAGGTGTGTGCGGACGGCTGTCAGCTGGGGTCGACGGCACGCCTGGGAGCGGAGCGCTGCTCGACGGCAGGAGCTGTGTGCTGACGTCGGCACAGCCCGGCTGCTTTATACCACGGCCCGCACAGACCTCGCCGTGGGAATTCCGCCACGCTGATGCTGTACAAGTCTCCACGGGTACAGCATGGGGTGCGCCGTATACCGGGAAATACGTCTGTCTGCTCTGGAATTTACGAATGAGTTGGCGATGGTACTGCGCGTAAGGCCTCAAATTTTAGTCTTCTTTGTCAGTGATCAACGTCTCGGTCAGAATTGGCTATTCCACCGTAAAACATTTACTAGTCAATTTCCAAAATGATGTAACGAAGTAGCACCGTCCATGTTCTTATCCACGCTACGCCAGAAGGTTGCAGGCGATAGCAGCAAAGGTGAACCAGTTGCTTCGCTTCGACAAGTGTTATAACATAACACAGCGTCATCAGCAGCTGGTAGGGTGCTTATCGCGCACTTCCGTGAAGCATATTATCAGACTAGTTATCAGGGTTGCTGAAGAAAGAAGTAACCAGAAGTAGAAGAGGGTCTCATATTAGTTATCAGGGTTGCTGAAGTACAAAGCCACGCTGAGCAAGCGAGCGCCTCTATATTCCGTGGAACAGCCCCAGGCTGGCCCAGGAAAAGTTCATCGCCCAGTAGCAGTCTCAGTCTCCGCGTACGCGTTACACCAACTGATGACTTCCATCATTTGACTGCGTCCCATTTCGCGCCACCTTAAAGGTGGCGCGAAACGTGAATCGTGAATAATAACGTGAATCAGTTATCAGCGGGACGCTGTAGTGAGAAAGGTATAATTTTGTCGTGCTGAATTTT